ACACACACACACACACACACACACACACACACACACACACACGGTTAATTTGTGTTATCTTGCTATTGGCCATACAATATGTGTGTGTGTGTGTGTGTGTGTGTGTGTGTGTGTGTGTGTGTGTGTGTGTTTAAAAATGTCAGACCATTCATGATAAATGAATATAATTCTAGCAAGTAAAAAATAATTTAAAAGAAAACCAAATTGGTATATTTTATGTAAGAGGAAAATTGAATACTGTTCTTCTAAAAGTCAAAGAGGAAATCTATTAAGCCACATTAAGAAAATAATACTCAGCTATGAGTGGCCACTCATATCTATAATCCCAACATTTGAGAGGCTAAGGCAGGAGGCTCTTGAGATCAAGGCCAGCCTGCACTTCATACTGTGACTCTTTAATAATTATATCACAGCAAGTAAATTGCTAGGGCCTGGGACAGTGGCTCAGGATGTAAAGTGCTTGTAATGTGTGCATGAGAACTGAGTTCTGACCCCCAGCACCCACGTAAAAAAGCCAGGTGTGGTGGTGTGTGTCTGTGACCTCACTACTCGGAGAAGAGGAGGCAGAAGGGCCCCTGGCACTTGCTCACAATCAGTTCAGCTGATTCAGTGAGCTCAAGGCTCGATTAGAGATACTGTCTTAGAAAACAAGGTAGAGAGCTACTGAGGAAGAGTTCCAACTTCAACCTCTGCCATCCACATGCACATGGACACACACATACATATAGCACATGCACACACACAACTCACATCACATATATACCACACGCACACAAGAAAGAAATGGATTTCTAGGTAGCTAGTTCTCATGGAGCACAGCAGTACCTATGTTCTTTTGTGTTTTGCCTGGAAGATGTTCTGTTTCCATACAGCCTATGGGAACACTTTGCTCTGTGCCCAGGCCTATGGGAAGAAGTAAGCTCGTAAAATAACCAAAGCTTTGCGTCTCTACAGAAGCACTTAATTTAACTTACAAATTCTCAAATGAAATATGCCTAAGATTAAGCATTCCATTGCTAACATTATTGCTTTATTAACAAAATGCTTCACTGAGAGTTTAATGGTACATAATTGATAGTATACTCTTAAAGGTTCTATACAGACATGGTGTCATGAGTTGTCTTTTAAACCAGGTAGTTATTACCTTCATGTAGCTGAAAAGAGAGGGAAGTATGCTAACTAGCCAACACAGACTATTTGAAGGTGTATGTGGCTGATAACTCCTTAGGAAATTCAAGGTACTTATACAAGCTCATTTTAAAATTGTTATTTGTATTATTGTGTGTAGTGTGTGTGTGTGTGTGTGTGTGTGTGTGTGTGTGTGTGTGTGTGTGCACTCACATGCCTGTAAAACAGTGTGTAAAGGCCCCAGGACAACTTTCCACCTTTATGTGGGTTCCAGGAATAGAACTCGGGTCATCAGGCCTGTGGGCTCAGAGCTTTGCCCACTGAGCCGCCCTGTGCAGCCCTCGAGTTCTTACTGACTGGCCCAGTCACCACTGCTGTACTGACTAGCATTTGATCAGATCCTGAGTGCTCTGTCGGGCCATCATGCTGTATCTGAACACCTATAATAAACAACAGTCCAGAGGCAGCTCTGGCCTCCGTAGGATTTTTCTCTTTACTCCCTTGTTAATTCTGCCAACCTTGTTTGGAATAGTTATGATAACACAAGAAATTACCATCCATTGTCTTCTGAGTACTATACCGCTTCAGTTTTCTAGGGCAACAATGCAATCCTTGAGTTTTGAAACCAATTTCATAGTAAAACAAAAGAGTCATACACTTCTCAATAAAAATTGCATATGGACTTTAGAAGTTAATATGTACAATAATTGAAATAATTTGATAAACATTGTGAAAATCAATACTTGGTTTTTCTCTCTCTTTGGATTTAGTGCTCTGCTCAGTGTGGCCTTGGACAGCAAATGCGAACTGTCCAGTGTCTCTCCTATACTGGACAGGCATCTGTTGACTGTGCGGAAACTGTGCGGCCTCCATCCATGCAGCAGTGTGAAAGCAAATGTGATAGTACTCCCATCTCCAGTACTGAAGGTGAGTATCCCCCGGAAAGGGCTTGAGTCTCTGCCTCACCACTACTGTCCCAGCATTTGAAGAGTCTCACAAGGCACAGTTAGGGTACAGTTTGTCCCAAGCCTTCATGAAAGCTGTTATGTATGCCTTCATATCATCAGGAAACCTGGTCTATTATGACTCTTTCACCATGTGTTTAACACTAAACCACTCAGCTTCTGGAGTGAAATTTTCCTGTCTATAATGTGAGATGTCTGAGAACCTATCTCTACAGTCATCTCTAACTCTGTGTTCTGGCAGGCTGACACACATGACTTGCCACACTGGCCAAGTTCAAGGCCAATTTGGGTTACATAGTGAGTTCAGGCCAACTTAGGCTACAAAGTAAGATTCTGTCTTCAAAAAGCCAACAACAAAAAAACAAAACAAACAAAACAAAAAACAAACAAATAAGTAAAAGTGGGAAACTTTTGTTTCTTTTTGGAAATGACAAGGAATGCTACTATCAAGAGTCAATGTAAGCTAGACATGGTGGCGCACGCCTTTAATCCCAGCACTCAGGAGGCAGAGGCAGGTGGATCTCTGTGAGTTCCGGACAGCCAGGGCTCTGTAGAGGGTCCCAAAACAGACAAACAAACAAACAAAAAAACAGTGTTAGTTTTTATGATACATATAATGAAAGCATATATTTGAAACTGTGTATTTTAAATGCCAGTTTCTCATTATAGAGAAGTGAAGAAATAACTATATGAATGTTGATAAAGAAGGACAAGGGTCCTCCTTGAAAATTATTTATCTATTTATTTGTTTATTTGTTTTCTAGGAGAGAGTTTCTCTGTTTAGTCCACGCTGTCCTGGAACTCACTCTGTAGACCAGGCTGGCCTCGAACTCACAGAGATTCACCTGCCTCTGTCTCCTGAGTGCTAGGATTAAGGGTGTGCACCACCACCACCCGGCTTTCTTTCTTTTTCTTATACACTGAGAAATCATGTATGAGAAATTGTGTAACATGTTAATTAACAGCAGATGCTAGCAAAAATCCTGAATTTTATCTTTCATTCAAGTAAAAGTACTTTATCCGTGCAGGCACCATTCAAAATGTCTTGAATGGTACAATGTGTGAGATTTCAGAAGCTGTACAGAATACGAAGATACATATGGCACAGTCAAAATTTCAGACTTCCTTCTTATATAAAATTTGTGTACAGGCTTACCAATAGCATCTGAAGCCATGAATTTAAATTATTTAAAGAGACCCAGCTATATGCTCTACTTAAAAAAAGCAACAACATAAAGTCTGATAATTTGTTGATAATTTTCTGATGAAAATGAAATGCTTACAAATCTCTTCAAAAGAAATATGTTCCTTGTAGTCAGCTCTATCCAGTATGAGGATGTTCTGAAAATTGTTTTGAAGTTCCTTTGGGGTTTTGTTTTGAGGAGGAGGAGGATCTTGTGTGACATGTACAGAGGCCTTGCAACTTTGGTTTATTTATCTAAGGTCTGTTTATCTAAGCCTCGGCACATTGCATTTGTTGTAACGTAGGTTGCCTTTTAGAGTAGTATAGCCAATCCTACATTAATTTAAAATCATAACTTTATTGTGCAGACCTCTAGCTCTGGTGCCATCTACTTTTGTTGTTGTTCCTATAATAAGGTACATCCTGGAAATTTCCATTTTTTGAAAAGAATTCAAAATGTATAGCACACAGAAGCAATTTTCTGGAAAATAGGTATCTTTTAAGTGATCTTAATTTAAAAAGAAAATCTCTCTTTTATGAGGCTGTGGCAAACAACTTTCACTCATAAGTTATTAGCAACCCATCACTTGGGTTTAAGAGGTCTGGTTTTTGTTTTGTTTGTTTGTTTGCTTGTTTCTTTTTTTCCAGAGCTGAGGACCGAACCCAGGGCCTTGCGCTTGCTAGACAAGCGCTCTACCACTGAGCTAAATCCCCAACCCCTAAGGAGTTTGTTTTTTATTTTAGAATTGGAAGATGGAAGGTTAAGTGGGAGAGAAGATGGAACTAATCCATTAAACTGCTCTGCATATTTGATCCTTTAATTCTATTTAGGTCATATACATAAACAATCTTTCTGTATTGTATGTGTGTACAATAATCTTCTAAGACATATTATTGCCAATAAAGAAACTGAGGCATAGAGGCACAGAGAGATGGTAATCTCAGATCACAAGTCTAGGAAGTAGTAAACACAGGCAGGCTTTGAACCCAGATTGGGCAGGGCCATGAAGCGTGTCAGTTTCCACTGTGTTTACATGCTGTTCTTTTTTTTTTTTTTTTTTTTTTTTGGTTTTTCGAGACAGGGTTTCTCTGTGTAGCTTTGCGCCTTTCCTGGAACTCACTTGGTAGCCCAGGCTGGCCTCGAACTCACAGAGATCCGCCTGGCTCTGCCTCCTGAGTGCTGGGATTAAAGGCGTGCGCCACCACCGCCCGGCTACATGCTGTTCTTTTTTTTAGCCCATGCTCGTTTGGTACTCATGATCTTTTTGCCACAGTCTTCCAAACTGGGATTATAGGAGTATGCTTCCACTTCCAGTTATTTTTTTTTAATTTAAAAAGAAAGATATAAGTACTATCTGAAGCAGTTGATTAAGTTCTAAGGGAGGCTCAATGAAGATCAATGACTTTAACCTTTTGGTCAAAGCAGCCTGCATAGACTAAGCTGTCTGTGAGCCAGCTGTAATGTATCGTTGGCGAAGTCCAAGGTGTACTCGGAAAGTGAAGACAGTATTTGACCCACATCATAAGTTGTCACTGTCTTACGGTTTCTATTGCTGCAAAGAGACACCACAACCATGGCAGCTCTTACAAAGGAAAACATTTAATTGAGGTGACTTACAGTTTCAGAGGTTTAGTCCATCATCATGGCAGGATATGGTGGCATGCAGGCCGACATGGTGCTAGAGAAGGAGCTGAGGGTTCGTTTTGATATGCAAGTAACAGGAAGTGAACTATTGCAATGGGCATAGCTTGAGCATAGGAGTCCTCAAAGCCCACCCCCATGGTGACACACTTCCTCCAACAAGGCCACACCTACTCCAAGGCCACACCTCCTAGTAATGCCACTCCCTGTGGGGGCCATTTTCTTTCCAACAATCATAGTCACCCCCAGAGAAGGGATGGGCAGATGCCATGGATTTCAAGAGAGGGTTTTACACAAACAAAATAACTTTGTTTGGGGGTTAGATCAGAGAGATAAGATGTGCACCTTAGGGAAATCAGAAGGACCAGTTTCTAGTTAATAATGGAGAGTAGAAAGGACTATGCTTATCAGGAGAGTCAGGCTCCATTTATTCCCAATGAGAAGCTACTGGAAGGCAGTTTAGCTCTGCCACTCCAGAGTAGTTTGAGGAGATCTCTTGGGATCTAAAACATAGCCCTTATGTTGGGTTGCCATGGATAAAATGGTCTATAGTTAAAACCTTGAGAATTGTTTTAACTACCAAGGTTTATGGTGGTTAAAACATGTAAGGTTTAAGACATGTAATGGCTGCTCACCTACTCAATATTTTATTATGAAAATAATAAAGTTTCAAGTACACAATGAAGTTGAAAGAATTCAGTGAACACCCACCATCTAGAGTAAACTATCACATTAACCTTCTAGTAAACTTGCTTTATTTTAGATGTAATCCATTCCTCAAGGTGATAGGGTTTTGTTGTTGTTGTTGTTTTTACAGTTTTACATGTACGTACCTACATACTTATTACTCTCACTCCCACCTCCCTACCAGCCCTGCTTACTCTCCTCCTGACAAATCTCTCTCACATTCAGTCTATTTGTTTTGTTTCATGGCCCACTGAGATTAATCAGGGCCATATGTGTGACCATGGGTTTGGAACTGTCCACTGGAGCCTGGTCAGCTCAGCAGATGGTACGTAACTACAGACAGTGGTTTTTTAAAGAACACACTCTATCCATCCTGCCATTAATCCATTTACTTGCCAGACCCAGAGACTTATGGGAGGGGTACCACAAGTACTGTCCACAAAGAGAGCATAACGTAGTAGGGATGGTGACCTGAAGACTAACATGGTGAGCAGCGTTTTAGCAGACATATAAAGATGCTTCTCAAGTGCACAGGGAATATAATGAACAGAAGTGCCACCGGCATGGTGAGCTGGAGCTGGGCAGCAGGGGCTCTAACAGTTAACCAAGGAGATGCTGGGATGTGAGGTGTCCCTGGCTGGGGCAAGTATGTGCAGTCACGACAGACTTTGAGTAAGATAAAACGTATAAACACACAGAGATGAGAAAATGGAGGGAAGTTTAAGCCAGTCAAAGACAACAAGAGGAAGAATTAGAAGGAGGGCATCAAGAAATTAAAATAGTGAAAGGAAATAGGAGAAGGAAAGGGGCAAGGCAGGTTACTATGTCCAACATCTGCTTTCGTTCTTTTCTTCCTGAAAGCCTCCAGTGAAAGGTTAAAACTTCGTAGGCAGGATCCTGACAGGCTTGACAGGCTGCCACTGTGAGGGTAACACCACATTGCTGCCAAGAGTGAATTATAGACAGACTGGGTACCATTGCATTTAGAATACCAAGTTTTTCAAGTGCATATGGCAGCTGGGTCTAGCCCATTCAAGCTCACCTGAAATTCTATCTCCAAATGCCATTTTATTCATTGTTCATGCAGTTTCACGTTTCCTCATGGTTTATATGGGGAATCTTTTCAGCTTCTCAATAGCACAAGACACTCTGTCATCTAGTATTTGTCGCTAACAGATCATGATTCACAGTATGCCATGGGCTAGTATTTAACCTAGGAAAGCTGTGGGTAGTAAACATTGGTCTATCAGCTTGAGATGTCATATGGTGGCTTTACTGGGTCTCAGTTTGCCTCAGACACACTTCTCTGAGACAGTCTGGCCAACTCCATAAATCTCATAGCAAAATCAATGAAAAAATAGCTATAGAATTTAGTCCTTAATATGGAATTTGATGTAGAAAATCATTGAGAAGAACAAGAAAGGTCATTTGAAGAGTTCAATTTAAAAGA